CCCTTGATTGTCTCCATGCTTCTCTGCTGCTTAAAGGTTTTTATTATAATTTTGTGTAAGCTGAGAAGTCACAAACTGGAACATAAGATTGCATAACAAAAAAAGACATGGGTTCAAGGTAAAGAAGTAGGGAAAACCGGGAACAACTTAAATCTAAATCAGTGTTTATGACTTTAACATTATTTTCTTTATGACACAGAAAAAAACAACTTCAAGGAGTTGAAGACTCTAGAGCAGCGGGTCTCAACCTGTGGGTTGTGACCCCTTTTGCGGTCAAACGACCTTTTCACAGGGGTCGCTGAGGAGCCTCCCACGGAGAGGCTGGCGAGAAGCCGGCCCGAAGGGAAGGAACGGCTCAGGTTCCCCACATGGCGGAAGGAGAGGAGTGGGGGGGGGGGAGGTAGGAGCCGGAATGGAAGCAAGGAGAGAAGAAAGAGAGACCTGTGCAGCAGAGAGGACGCTGGGAAAGCAACTCACTCCGAGTGATGGAGGTGGATAGGCAGAGCTACAGAAGCCAAGAGCAGTGGTCGGATTGAAATAATTTAACAACGGGTTCTCTGACCTAATGATTTCTTCTAACAACCAGTTCACCAAACTGATCAGAAAGTTAACAACCAGTTCTCCCGAAGTGGTGCAAACTGGCTGAATCCCACCACTGGCCAAGAGGTACCATTTCTGAAGCATAAAACCAAGTGGGGAAAATAAAAAAAATAAAGGAACGTGGGATACGCATACACTGAGATTCCCTATTAAGACTGTTACCCATGCTTAGCATGGGTAACAGTCTTAATAGGCTTTGGCCCATCTCCTGCGGCTCCCTGCTGACCCAATTGTACAATCTGCTCTCCACCCCGAGAAGGCACGAGCCTCTCGCCTGCTTTGATGATTCCGCGTCCTTCACAGGCAACTCAGTGTCGGGAAGAGCTCCAGCCCTTTTCTTGTGCTCATCTCATGTGCACGTGTGCACAAGCAAAATATCCTCCTGAGCCAGGATCAAGGCAGAGGGGACAATGACTCTCCTCCCACTGTCGCCACTGAGGTGAGTAACTGAGACACCTCAGCGTCAGACTCAGGTCAGCGTGAGCTATGGTCCCCTTTGTGTTGGCTCAGGAAGGATGAGAATGGGGAGCAGCGACAACAGCTGGTTGGTGCATGGAGGGAAGAGATCCAGTTCTTCTGCACTGCACAGGGCTCTCCTTGCACAGGGCTCTGGAACCCTTCCCTCTTTGCATCCAGAGACGGCTGCTCCAGCTCTTTCCTGAGTCAACACGAAGGGGACCGACCTGAGTCTGGCACTGAGGAGTCTCCTGCGCAGCGCAGCCAGCTACTCACTTCTCAGTGGTGGCAGCAGAAGGAGTCGCTGTCCCCGCTGCTGTGATCCCGGCCCAGGAGGGTATTTTGCTTGCACGCACAAGGAAGAGATAAAAGAGAAAAGGGGAGAAAGAGCGATAGAGAGAGAAAAATGAAAGAGCTGGAAGGAGAGAATGGGAGAGAGGGAAAATAGAGGGAAACAAATAAGAGGGAGAAG